GTGTGTGTGTGTGTGTGTGTGTGTGTGTGTGTGTGTGTGTGTGTGTGTGTGTTTATTGAGACAATATGAGACATACTAGACTTTGGAAGGAAGGGAATGGTGGGAAAGGGGTGAAAACCTGATAAAATGCAGATTTCTACAAGGAAAAATTGAAATTTGACACATTTATTAAGTGCCTGTTTAGAGAAGGAGCACTGCTAAATCATTAGGGGAAATAAAAAGTTTAGATATGACAGCATTTATGTCTCAGGAAACTTTCAATTTAGAACAGGGATACACAAGTATTTAACTGTAGCACATACTATTATTACATAATAAACAAATGGTGGTACACAATATAATTGCTAATTACTAACAAGGCAGGAGATGGGGAAATCAGGGAAAGCTTCCTGGAGGAGGGGGCATGAACTGAACTTTAAGGGATGGGTACAAATGTACTAGGTATAAGAGCACTAATAAGTCATATTGCTATATGGATTACATAATACTGTTTTTATAAGAACCTTGTGAGCTAAGTAGAAAGTGTTGAAGCCAGGATGAGAAAGTCTTAGGCTTCTGAGTCCAAAGTTCTTTATATTATTCCACATTTTAGAGGAGGTAAACTAATTAAAAATTATTTGTGGAGCCTCAGACTCAAGAACATGAACTTCATGTCCATCTAACAATTATGGGTTATATAAGTTAAATATTGGGTTATAGGTTATATGGATATATATCCATTTAATAGATTAAATGGTGGGTAATGTGATCCAGCATTTGGGTCAGGTATATGGCACTGTGGATAGGGTACTGAGCCTGAAGTAGGGAAGAACTGAGTTCAAATCTTGCCTCAGTCACTTACTACTTATGTGACCTTGGGCAACTTACTTATCCCCATCTCCCTCAATTTCATCATTTGCAACAAGAGAATAACAATGGCATCTACCTTCTAGGATTGCTGTGAGCATCAGATAAGATGATGAACTTTAAGGCACTATATAATGGTTAGCTGTTATTATTAGCTATGATTATTTGGATAAGCAAACACTTCCTTGAAGCAAAGGTGGACTCTTCCTCATTAGTGTTGTGAAAGAATGCCCTAGCCAACAATTTGAAGCCTTGAGGCTTACAGTAATTTGAATCCTCTTGGAGCATGCACAAGACTCCAACTTCATTCTAGGTATTTATTTATGGCTACGTTTCTAAACCAAAATGTATTAGATAAAAAATCAATTCCTGTTTATTGACTCAAATGAGGAGGGATATGGGAACACAGTCAAACAGATAAGCCAAAAATGGCAGATAATTTAAAAAAAATCATTTTTATTTAGCCTTGGGAAACGTTTTTCTGTTTATGCATGATAATGGGAATTCCCAGCACATCATAGAGAATAATCAAACCTGTTATATAATAAGGCCTGACTCTCCATATTAGTCTCAGAGACTCACAGGATGTGAGGGTTGGGAAGTACCTGAAAGATCTACTCTAATCTACTCCATTTACATATGAAGAAACTGAGTCCTAGAGAGATTAAATGTCAAAACAGCAAATCACCAGTTTCCTCATTTTATACTAGGAATGGCCCAAAATACTTCTAAAACTGACCAAGTATAGAGGCTACTATCATTAAGTTTTCTAGTTCATACTTTCCTCTTCCAGGAAGTTAATTCACTTGCTACTTTACACCTTCACTGCAGATTTAAAAGACTCTCTTTCCTCTCTTCTGCCTCTAACCTGAAGAGAAGCAAAGATCCTATTTATGTCAACAAAATACTTAATTAAGCCAAGTAGGTGGCAATATCAATTAGAACCTGAAAGCAAGATTGGCCCAGCTCAAGTGTGGATAATCTGTTCAAATGCAGATAATCTGCTCTAAGATAATTCAGAATTGACTACAAGTTGTGAGCAATCATGTCAGTCAGTAAGTGGGTACCAAGAATGAAATATACACACTTACTTTAATAGAAGAATATTGTTCAATTTCTTAGGAGAATATTATTTATATTCAATTCCTCAGTAGAAGAATATTATTTTTAAAAGAGTCCCAAATTTATATTCAATTCCTCTGTAGAAGAACATTATTCTAAAAAGTACCCTGAAACAACTGTGTTCCAGTAGGTGCCCCCAAATGGGTAATAACTGTATTATACTATTTCAGTTAATAGATATTTCTCACCTGGCAATACTGTGTACTTACTACCTGTAAACCCTTGAGCAAGTCACTTAGCCTCTTAAACTTTTTTTTTTGGGGGGGGGTATAATGAGGAGATGACCTCTGAGTCAAACACTTCCCTGGAGGAAAGGTGGACTCCTCCTCATTAGTGCTATGAAAAAATGTACTAGACAATAATTTGAAGGTTTGCAGCTTAGAATAACTTGATTCCTTCTGGAACATTCTACAAGACTCCATTCTAGACATTTATTTATGGCTGTGTTTCTAAACAACAATGTATTGAATATAAATGGGAGGTGCATTAAGGATAAATGTATTACTTAAAATGAGAGGGCCCTCCTAGTTCTATATCTAGTATTCTCTACCTTTTCTACATGTTCAGTGTTCATCTTCTCTGACCTTCTTGTCCATAGGTGAGAGGGACAACAAATACCTTTGCATATTGGCTAATAAAAAACAAAACAAAACAAATCCAGGTTGATTTTAACATTGTTGTGGAAATGCTTTCAGCTTTTTGAATGTTAGTAGTTGAATATGGACAGACACTATCTAATCTCTCATTCCAAGAATCAGAGGAAATTACTGAAAGGCAATAATTAATGCAAAAATACTTGAGTCTTTATTTTAATAAATTACATGGAGAAAAGAAGACTCACAGACCTAAAAATGAAGATGATTTTTTTTAAACTCAGCATGTTTATGTAATTTGAAGAAGATCTGTAGAAACATGTCTTTAAATTAGGAAGTACAGAGGGGAAAAAAGAATGTTAATTTAACCAAATTTGAGACAGACACTGAGTCTTATGGAATGGACTGTAATCCTTGGATTTAGGAAATGTTATTGCTTTCACTTCGATGCCTTAAATTATTTTCCAAAAAGTGTAATGCCTCTAGAACACCTACATTTAAATTTTAATAAAAAATAGACATTAAGGTTGCCATGCTTTGTATCTGCTCAGGAATACAGAGATATGATAAGTTTCATCAAATATGCAGCTGTTTCAAAATGTACTTAATCTCTTCAGCTGGCTCTCCTGCCAAGAAAGTTCAACAGAAGGGCCTATCTTGCCAAGTAGGCAAGAACATTTGTGTCTCTCCTCCTTTATTGGGGCAGGTAATGTATCTTACGTGGCTCTCACAACAGACAAGTTTAATTACCACGTTTTTAAAAAAAAGTGAACATTTTTAGCAACACTTTCGGGATCACGGGAGCATTTTCTGACAGCCAGAATGAGATGGATTCAAACATCAACACACTATATTTAGCTTTAAAATCAACACTTACATAAATATTCCCA